AGCTTAAATATCAATTGCTATTCATCTCAATTGTAGTCACCAATTTAGTCATTTCATACATTTCTACTAGGATTTCCGTTTGTTTCTTGCCATTTTGAGTACCAGTAGGGTGATTTTTTCACCCATTATTTTGCTGTATCGCACAATGTGAAGATCTCACGGAAAATAACCGTCCACATTTTGGTAAAAAGTTGAAGTTCGCGAAATAACGAGACACATCTGATAACTTTGGCTGACAAGCATGTCAAGTCTACGAATTGTTGCGGGCCTGTGCATGGCGTTGCTTGCTCTTGCCTGGATGGGAGGGGATGCAGCAACAACCTCGTGTGCAGCTCTCGTATCAATCGGCGACCAAGCCGTCGGAATCTCCGCAATCGAAGACGCGTCGTGCAAGAATGGAGGTGTAGGCTGCTTTTCAAATGGTATTTGCCGATACTGCCAGAAGTCCGCGTTTCCGCAAAGCAACCACCTTGTGAAGTGCAGCAGCGTGGCATCGAGTACTCCGACAATCGCGCCACCATCAAGTGCAGCAGCATCAATACCCTCAATTACTACCGAATGTACTTCAATCATGACAAGGTCCAGCCTTACTGGAATTTCGTTTGTGACCGACAGAGCGTGCAACGTTGCTCGTCCGGCGGCTATGGGTTGTGTTGCACATACGAATTGTAGATTGTGTCGAGCCACCAAGAACGAAGGCAACCAGTTCCTTATCAACTGCGCCATGCTACAAAAAGCAAATGAAAGGCCTGTTCGCCGATTATCCACTGATGACAACACTGAGGGCCCGACGCCCAAGAATTTCACTGCCATCGCACTGGGCTGTGTTGGAGGCATGGCACTCGTTGTGGCCATTATTGGCCTTGCACACTCCAAGTTCTGTCGCCGGGACAACACTCCGACTAATTGTGCAGTTGACGAGGATGGTTTAGCTATCGACAACGTCGCCGACTTGAAGGAAAAGGACAGTAAGATAATATCTTAGAAAACCACAATGTGCATATAATAGTCATTGTTTTTCGACTTCTTACATACAAGACAGGGAGCTCGTACATGAAATCATTGAAACTTCCCTTGTTAATACTACTACTAGAAGGAATGTTTATACAACAAGTACAGTGGTCATAAAGACCGATGCCATCGACGAGAATATTAGCAGCGGCTGAGTCCTCATTCCATGCGAAGTTTCGTCCACGTTCGAGCCGGCAGAACTGTTATCTGCGACGATCATGTCAATGCCAGAGTCGCTGTTACCCGAGTCGTTACTCGATGCCGGCTCGTAGTCAATGGTGTAACCTTCGTCGTTCGAGTTGGTGGAATGACCTTCGCTATTGAAGTCGTCCTCTTCATCGCTCGAGCTGACGGAGTGAGTTTCGCTGTCGGAACCATCAACGCTTGTTGACGTGTCAATCGATGATTCACCGCTCCACCCAGCAGCGTTAATATCCCCAGAACTACCAACATCCGAAGACATACTGCTGGAATTGTCTGTAAGTACACATTGTGTTGTTAAGATGTTAGATATGTAGAATTGTTGAGCACAAAACCTCACCTGCTTCGAATCGCTCTTTAAACGTTTGCGCCTCTGACGGGGGTACCGAAGGCCCCATGGGCGTTGGAGGAGACGTCGAAACCTGAGCGTGTGCAATTTCAATCGCTAAAATAAGGAGAATCGACGTAAAGAGCCTCTTCATTGAGCGTCTTGAATGCCAACGTTTTGCAAGCAGATTGAGAAATGGGTTCAGCTATCCGACCCTACTGCACAGCAACTAAAAGAGACGTTTGGCGTTGTGAAGCTAGATTGATATTGAATGAAAAAACGAGGAACGATAATTCAACGGAAAATGCTGGAGTTTAGTAGAAAATCGCATAGCTGACCAGAATCATCAGCGCAGATATTCCAACCGCCTCCGCTCGAACACCCGAGTTGGCCTTCGAACCGCTTGCTTGACTGCTGCTGTCGCCCTTAATTTCATTCGGTAAATCCTCCGAGGACGATCCAACCCTGATGTTGTCACCTGCATTTGTATCGCCAAAACTACCTAAGCTCGTGCTGCCAATAGGTACCTCGACGTCTCCGACTATGACTCCTTCTGTAGCTCCAACGGTGGCTCCGACTTCGGATGAAGACTGCGCTGAAGCCCTCACGGTTGCATGATCCAAGAATTCCCACCACATCTACATCTACGCTTTTACTATTTTATGAGCATTTGAGGCCGCTAGCGACTTGCAAATAGACAAAAATGCATTTCACTTTAAGTTTTCACAGTGTAAAAACAGCATGGCTGAGAAGCTCGGTGACGACCATTTTGTGCGCCGATTTTCCAGCGAGATTGAGCCGGATCACCAACAACGAAGGAACAATTGCCAGGAAAACTTTTT